TCCAGTGCTTTGTCTTGTCCAATTTTAAATGGCATAAGTAGTGGGGCTTCCACCACTGCTCTTAAGAAACTATTCCATAGCCAAATGGGTCTTTCTACTAGCATATATTTCCTGATATTCAGCCTAAATGTGCACCTGCTCATTTTAATCTTAGTGTTCCTAGTTACACCCTCTTACATGATTTGTCTCCTTCATTAAAATGGGATTTTCAAAGGAGCCTGAAATACCCATATCCTATCTGGGTAGTAATGAGTATCTGACTACCTTAGGCTCTTTAGGCTCGGAACACCATGCAGCTTCCTCTTAGCATATCTTAAAGCAAGGTCAGGGATTGGTTGTTCCAGGAAAATGGGATGTGCCTGGAATGGGACTGCTTCTCATAAAACCATACAGAAAAGAGACACAATCACCAGGCAGGTGAAAGGGGCTGGCTGGTGGTGCACCCCTTCAGGATTATCCCAACCCTTCCCTGATTTGTACTAGGGATGAAAAGGACTAGTCGACTATCCGATAAGCAAATGCTTATTGGATATTCAAGTTGACTAGTGGCTCTTTCCCCGCACTTGCTGCCTCAATCAGAAAGAGTCAGCTGGAGGGGAAGGAAGGGGTACTTCAAAGTAGCAGTGTCACGTGGGCCAGACACTGGCTCCATGCAGTGCTGCCGCTTTAAAACACTGCATGCAGCCTGGGGCCCACTGGGGTGTTCCCAGGCTGTACACGGCTTTTCAAAGTGGCAGTGCTGCGTGGCAGTGCTGCGTGGAGCCCGGGATCAGCTGGGGACTCCCCTGCTGACTCTGGGCTCTGTGGGGTGCTGCCACTTTGAAAAACTGCATGGAGCCTGATGCTGGGCTCCCTGTGGCATTTCAAAGTGACAGCGCCACATGGAGACCGGGTCAGCTGGGGAGTCCTCAGCTAATCCTAGGCTCCACGGAGCGCTGCCGCTTTGAAATGCCACAAGGAGCCTGATGATGTGCTCCCCACAGCATTTCAAAAAGACATTGCCGCATGGAGCCTGGAGTCAGCAAGGGAGTTCCCCACTGACCCTGGGCTCCACGCGATGCTGCCACTTTGAAATACCATGGGGAGCATGGGGCCTGCAGGGGACTGCCCCGCTGGACCCATGCTCCCTGCAGCACTTTCACTTTTGAAGTGTAGCAATAGCCCTAGGGCTGTTGGTACATTTCAAAGGTGGAGGCACCCTATCGACTAATCAAATAGTTGATGCAAATTGCATCAATTATTTGATTAGTCAGTTACTCAAAATTTAACATCTCTAATTTGTACAAGGATGTTGCTGGCTGTTCTCCTTTGTCAGGCAATAAAGGGAAAGTGCACAGTTTGCTTAATTCCTTACTCTGGCAGGACAGTGCAGGGGGCAGACAAATCTGCACCTGCCGCAGCAAGGGGACCTGCACCCCTCTCCCAACTTTGTCCACTGGAGCTGCAGAGGCCACAGAGAAGCACTTCTCACTTAGCCCTCAACTGTTGGGGTGATAGAGGGTTAGAGTAGTCCTCTGTTCCCAGGGCAGCCTGGATACTGAACCCCTCATCGTCAGCCCCACCCCAGAGCACTAATTTAAATGAAGAAACACAAAAATTAATTGAGTTAAGGACCCAAGCAATGGCGGGTAAATATAAAAGTGAGAGAGAGAATGGCTGTTACCAGGCTAGTTTTGCAATGACTTCCACAGCAGTGATCTCAATGGGATTTCACAAATACAAGATTCTGATTTAATTACAGGATGGAATAGAAGCTGGAGGCCTAGAAGTTTTCACTCACTGAATCTAGGACTCAAACACGTATCAGCAATAACAGGAAAAGAAAACAGGAATTGATAAGGGTTGGTGGCATTGAGAGAAATGGTCTTTCAGGTTTGCCCTATCATGAATCCCTCTTTGAAACATACTAAGCTCAGACATGAGCAAGTGTATAAATCTGAAGGAAATCAAATAGCAGTAGTATATTGACCATCTTTTTGACAGTACGGATAAGACAAATTTTGATTATAGATTTTGGAATAATATTAAAGCTATTGAAAATATTACAAAATAGGGTGCTATTAATGGTATTCTAAATATCCTCTGACAATAAGTCACCAGGTCCAAACAGGTTAATGCCAAAGCTGGCAAGCAGAGAAACTGGAAAACTCAGATTAGGAACCGGTTTTGGAACTTTTTACTGGGACAGTTCAGTGTGAAATGGGCTGGTAATCTCACTATCACTGGGACAATAGGTGATTTTTACCATTCATATTAACTAATTCCAGTAGTGGTAACTTCAAAGAGGACAAGAATCTCCAGGACCATGGAGTCTGAATGCCTCTCAGTCCTAGAGCTAGCTTCTCTGTGTCAGAACTGAGGTTATGAATGATTTAGCTACAGAAGCAGCAAATAGGGAGTTTTGAGAGGGCGTTCTCCAGGTGAAGGAGGAGCAAATATGGGACTCTTGAGATAAGTGACTCTCTGTAGTGTTTGTTTGGGGATTACTTGCTGTGTGCTGAGCTTGTGTTTGTCTGTGTTTGTTTGTTTGTTTGTTTGTTTGTTTGTTTGTTTGTTTGAAGGAGTGTGTGCTGTGGCCGGCAGTTGGAAGCTCTGAGTTTCTAAAGGTTTGAAATCTTGAAGCCTCTGTTAATTGGCTGAGCCTTAGTCAGGGGGTGGGGCTATCAGGAAGGCCATGGCTTTATAAAGCAGTGAGTCAGCGACCAGGAGCAGCAAACAGGGAGTTTTGAGAGGGAGTTTGGAAGGGGAGTGGGAAGGGGCCAAGATACACTTGTCATTCTTTATAGTTTAAAGGTTTTAAATCAGGAAGTTTTTGATTAATTAGAAACCCTATCAATAACCTAGGTAGCTCTAGGAGAGAATGCAGGCAGAAGCCCAGCAGCAGAGTGGGGGCTATCCTGTTTATTGTGCTCAGTGTAGCATGTGTGATTACCTGCCCTGAGGGCAGGTGGCGTATGTGTGCATTCGGTGCAAGGAGCTCCTGGCCCTCAGAGACCTCGTATGGGCTTTGGAGGCCAGGGTGGCTGAATTGGAGGAGCTGAGGGAGGCAGAGAGGTACATAGATGAGGCTTTCTGGGACACTCTAGAATTGTCCCACCTCCGGTCAGACATTCCCTATGCTGTTAAGGAGGATGAAAGGCTCAGGGAAGGAGAGCAGTCAACAGGAGCAAAGGGAAACCTTCCCATAGTCGGGACCGTCCTTCCAGATGTTGGAGTATCCTCTCGCACTGAGGTTACCTTTCCGGGGGAGGGAACTCCAGTCAGGAGGAAAAGGCAGTTAGTAATGGGAGATTCGATCATTAGAAATGTAGATAGTTGGGTTTGTGATGCCAGGGAGAACTGTATGATGACTTGCCTGCCTGGTGCAAAGGATGCAGATCTCTCGAGGCATCTAGATAGACTTATGTGTAGTGCTGAGGAGAAGCAGGTGGTCGTGGTACATGTAGATACCAATGACATAGGGAAGGAAAGCAGAGACATCCTGGAGGCCAAATTTAGGCTGCTAGGAAAGAGACTGATATCCAGGACCTCTATGGTGGCATTCTCAGAAATGCTTCCAGTTCCACGCACAGGGTCAGATAGACAGGCAGAGCTTCAGAGTCTCAATGTGTGGATGAGACGATGGTGTAGGGAGGAGAGATTTAGCTTTATAAGGAACTGGGGTTACTTTTGGGATGGGGGAGCCTATACAGGAAGGATGGGCTCCACCTAAACCATAGTGGATCCAGACTGCTGGCACTTAACATTAAAAAGTTTGCTGAGCAGTTTTTAAACTAAGAGATGGGGGGAAAGCCAATTGATATGGAGGATCATGTGGATCGGACAGAGATGTCTCTTAGAGGAGAGTCTATTGATAGAGATTCTCTAGGGTTTAGTCAGGAGGAAAAGATGGAAGAGGATAAAGTATGGGCCAGATCAGATGAAAAACATTCACATAAAAAGGAATCTGACACATCAGAAAAGAGCAGACAACTAAACAGTGACAAGTTTTTAAAGTGCTTGTACACAAATGCTAGAAGTCTAAAAGATACGATGGGTGAACTAGAGTGCCTTGTGTTAAGGAAGGATACTGATATAATAGGCATCACAGAAACTGGTGGAATGAGGACAATCAATGGGACACAATCATTCCAGGATACAAAATATATTGGAAGGACAGAACAGGTCGTGCAAGTGGGGGAACGGCACTATATATGAAAGAAAATTTAGAATCAAAGTAAAAATCTTAAATGAATCAAGATGTTCCATAGAATCACTATGGATAGTAATTCTCTGCTCTAATAAGAATATAACAGTAGGGATCTATTATCGACCACCTGACCAGGACAGTAATAGTGACTATGAAATGCTAAGGTCCAAGAGCAGCAATTACCACAGAGAAAATTGCTCCAGCCACAGCAGGTTAGGCATTTTAGAACTCACTACTCAAAGAATTGAATTTAAGCGTAAGAGAGAAATGAAAATTATGAAATGCACAGACCAGTCAAAACCCAATATAAAACACTTTGCAAAATAGTAAAAGTAGTAACAACAACCTCCTCCCCCCACGTACGTGTTGGGTCAGGAGAGGAGAAGAAACAACAGCTGGTGTTTGTGAGAATGACAGACACACACAGTGTG